GGTATATGTACTCTTAAGAATAAAAATGGTATTGGTGCATCCCTATAAGCAAAGTATGGCTTTTCTCTACCCAGTTATAATTTTCTTACAGAGCTGATTTTATTTTATTTAAATGGATGGCATTTTAATCTTCAGGTTCTCTTGTTGATCAATAACACCTGTTTTTTAACCACTTGCCCTCCAAAGGATTCACCCCCTTTATTTTTTGCTCTATACAAAAAACAGACCAACAATTTTGCTAAAGAAAAAAAAAAAAAAAAAAAAAAAAAAAAATATATATATATATATATATATATATATATATATTATTTTTTTTTTTTTTTTTTACTTTTTGCTATTAAACATGTCCAGTAATTTTTTTTTTTTTCTTAAACCAAATTTAGTCATAAATTTAGGCCAAAATGTGTTCTGCTACATGTCTTTGCTAGAAAATAAAAATCGCAATAAGTGTAAATTAATTGGTTTATGTGAAAGTTATAGCATCTCCAAATGGCGGTATATATACTGGAATTATTTTTTTTTATTTGTTTTTATACGAATAATGGTGGCAATCAGCGACTTATAGCAGGACTGTAAGGGGCATTCTGACACTGGGGAGGAACTGACTGTCACTGACATCCCCAGTGACACTAATACAGTGATCAGTGCTAATAAAAAGTAGGCATTGTACTAATGACACTGCGCAGGAAGGGGTTAATATCTGGGGCAATTAAAGGGTTAACTGTGTGCTGTTTTACCATGTAAGCACATTGCTTTGTATTGCTCTGCTATGCATATTGGTATATAAATATTGGACCAGTAGGTATACACTTTAGCTCTGAAGAAGGGCGTTCATCTCCCGAAACGCATCAGTATCCCTAATTAGAGCACAGCATTGTATTGACTGTCATTGCGGACTACTCATTCTGCTTTTATTCTCCTTTGGTTTGTGAGTAGATATACACACACACGTGATTTTGTGCTGCCCTGCCACCCTATGGCAGTATTTATGCTATTGGGCGGTGGGCAAGCGGTTAAAGCTGAACTGCGGACAACAGAAAAACCATAGCTAAAGCTTCATCCTCAACCTCACTCAATTAAACAAAATGTACCGATACCCTGCTCATTTATGGAGAAATATGAAGTTCTAAGCCATGGAACATTATCAACTGGCATCCATAATAATCATCATTAGATGGAACTGATGGGAGGGGCTGGCATGGCGCTCTACATGTCTTCCTGTGCAGGCAGGGAGCCCTATCAGAGCTATTATGGGCGGGGCTATGGGAGGATGCATGGTAGGGAATTTCCCTGTCAACACTGCAATATTGTTTCAGGGTCCCAAGCTGAGCAAGATGCAAGGAGAGTCTACAGAGGACTGGAATTCGTATGCCAATAACAATGGGATATGTCCTGTAGATGGCATGCAGCCCAAAGATCTACAGCAGGCTCCTGCAGAGATTTTGAGTTACTGAGTAGTCCACCTCTATCTCTGAGGTTCAGCTACCATGGCAGAGAGCCTCAGCAACATCCATAGTATTCCAGCTAGCAATTTCACCTTTTGCAACATATTACACTCATATTTAAGATGCAACATGTTGCTAAATTGAAGTTAGACTTTAAGGACTGTGGGAACTAACCTCCCTAGCAGTATTCCCGAGTGTAGCTCGGGGTAAAATGTCAGTACCAAAAGCGGTAACCCCGGGCTACACTCGGGCTTACCATGTGGCGCTGCATAGGGATTCCCTGCAGAGCTTACCTTGTCCTGCGCTCCTGCGATGTGTCCCCTGCAGCGTCCTTGGCCATCTCCTCCGGCCGATGCCAGCATCCAGCTTCTGTGTTCCGGTCCCTGTGACGTCGGGATGTATGGGCGCCGCCGGCGGTGGGAAAAATGGCATTTTTTTTCCAAACAAATTTTACATAGTAAAACATTGCTGTTTCAACCCATTTCACATACATTTTGTCCCTAGTGCTTTGTCCTGCCTTCATTTTGTCTGTTCTTTCTGCCTGGAAACTAAGAAAAGTCCATGGCGTCCAAAAAGCGTCCCTTTAGGTCAAAAGCGGGTTTAGATCAGCTAGAGAACAGCGATAGTAAATGAGAACCATTTGCAGAATTGAGTGATGATTTGTGGGGAAATTCAAATTTCAGTGTTTTTGGTTTGATTATATTATTGAATTAAATTTATTATTATATTAATATTTTTTATGATTATTTATTAAATTATAATTTATGATTTAGTGTTTAAAATTTTATCATACCCGGGATGTTTAATAGACTCTTGTTCGGACAGATTTCGGCGAGTTATTCCTAAAAAATTACAGCCTACAATAAAAAAACTACATATTTCCATGCAAAATAATGGTACCACTTTCAGCACCAAAAATCTGAAATAATCAGACCGCTAGGGAGGTTAATGGTAAGAGTAATTTGTGTTTTCCTTTTGTTTTGTTTGTAAAAAGTGACACTAAACAATATCCTTATTATCCAAAAATAATCCATACGCAACTGTTCCTAATGAACCTGTTATCTATTTTTCATGAAATGGGATTTTACTGTGTTTTTCTGCCGCTTTGTAATGTCTTCTGTGAGCTCCCAAACCTCTTCTTTTCTACTCACTTCTGTAGGTTTGAAATGAGCAGTGCACAATAATTGCAGACATGTGAAATGCTATGTACACTACAAATCCCATATTCCCTAGTCCAGGGCTTGACAAATTTGCTTTGAATCTAGGATCCAGCTTAAAAAAAAAAAAAAAAAAAAAAAAAAATTAGGAGCCCGGTTTTTTTTTTTTTTTTTTTCTTAACAAAACCCAGGGCAAGGCAAAATTTGGGTGACAAGCTTCACATGATGCGATTTGCCACATGATAATCACAGCAAAACAGCACACTTTAGGTGCCATGGAAAATAATGGCACATGAACCTGCGTTTTGCGATCACAGGGATTTATGCCACAATCGCAAAACGCCCAGATGTGAATTGGAGCTGCGCTGGTTCACACATATGCGATTCTGGATTAGTTTTCAAATTCACAGATTCGTATGACAGGTTAGACATGTGTCCCTATTGAGGTGGTTCACACAGATGTGATGCACTCGCATTGGGTTTTGAGTGCCATTACGAAAAGGGTTCTGTACGCGTTTGCAACGGTGCATTCCTGACTCACAAGTGATAGAGAAGTGGCATGCGGAGATAAAGTGTTCAGATAAGATTGCGATTGACAGGAGTTTTTGCATTGAAGTCAATGGGACACTATTTTGCAAATGAAGTCAATGGGACACGCTTTTGCAATGAAATCAGTGGGAGGCAGTGTGTGAACCCAGGTGCCAGGATGCAATTTCTAGTCGCCATGGCGACCTGGCACCTGGAATTTGTTGAACCCTGCCCTAGTTGATCTAAGGAGTGAGACACAGAGGGTGGCTACATTCCTACATACAATATGACCATTGCAGGACAAACATAGCCACCCTTTAACAGGAAGTCTGATTATAGTAGACAATAAAAGAAGGGATTTAAAGATTTGGAAGAGGCAAATAACTATAAAGGTACTTTGAGTTAGAGTTTTTTTTTTAAAACCAGTTTAGTGTTGCTTCAACTTTATTGCTAATAAGCCCCCTATTCTGGGGAGGAAGGGAAGAGCAGGGAGGCAGGGAATGTGACAGATTTGCTATAAAAATGAGGAAAGTAGGGTTAGGCAGCATATTTCAGACAGAAGTGATCAATTGGCTTTACAGCTGCCCGAATCCCGGTAACTATAAAGCCCGCAACAAAAATGTTAGCATGCCAGCGCTGCTATTGACATAGTACTTATGGTGGTGGCAGCAACAGGGTAAAGCAACTGATCAGCAGACATTAAACCTTTGTTGTTTTTTTTTTTTTTTTTAACCAAAACAAACATGTTATACTTACCTGCTTTGTGCAACACAGCAGCCCAGACTCTCCACTTCTGGGGTCCCCTGCCAGCGCTTCAGGCTCCTCCTCTTTAGTGGATGCCCCCATGCAAAGCATCGTTCCATGTGGGCACCTGTGTGGACTTGCTCCCGAGCCACCCTATGTCCATTGACACAGAGTGGGTGGCTCAGCCCTGCCCCCCACTGGCTCGGCAGCATTTGATTGACAGCAGCTGTAGCCAAGGATGAGGGAGGCAGACAGAGGCGAGAGTTGCTGCTCTTGTGCACATTACTACATCGGATCATGCTCTTTTAAATATAAGGGGGGGGGGGGGGGGGCTGAGGGGCATCCAGCTGCAAAGAAGGTTTTTCAACTTAGGGTGTTAGTAAACCCAGGACCCCGCAATCCCTATATCTGGTCTCCCACAGTACATACAACATGGAATTGCAATTATGTTAGTAAATATAAACTGCTAAATACCTCTCATCAGCAGTTAGAGTAGTATTGTGACTTCTATCAGTGTCCAGCCAAGCAATGGTTAAAGCTTGTAGGAGGAATTTTCATTTTGCTCTAGGACAGGGGCCTCAAAACTTTACAAACAAAAGGGCCAGTTTACGGTCCTTCAGACTTTAAGGGGGCCGGATTGTGGCCAGTGTGGCAGAAAATGTCCGGGGCCCAACATCAGTGAGAATAAACTTTGCCACAGAGTTGGTAGTCAGTTACATAGCGCCTGTGGTCAGTAGGAGGAACAGTGGCCCATCATTGGTATTACTGGGAGGAACAGTACCCCATCATTGGTATCAGTGGTAGAAATAGCACCTTATAGTTGGTGTCAGTGAGAGGAATAGCGCCCTATCATTGATATCAGTGGGAGGAATAGTAGCCCATCATTGGTATCAGTGGGAAGAATAGTAGCCCATCATTGGTATCAGTGGGAGGAATAGTAGCCCATAATTGATATTAGTGGGAGGAATAGTGCCCAACCATTGATATCAGTGGGAGAAATAGTGCCCATTATGCCCCACTGTTAGTGTCGGTGGAAGGAATAGTGCCTCATATCAGTTGGAGGACTGTTACCCCAAGGGCCGGATAAAGGCTAGCAAAAGGCCACAGTTTGGAGACCACTGCTTTAGGAAGATGCAGAACCCCTGACCTCCGTCTAGACAGTGTTGATTGGCTCTGTGCAGATCACATGCACTCTCCCAAAAAAAACCCCCAAAAAAACCTCTCTAGCAATACACACCAAACTGAACATGTACAAAATGACTCTACACGATATGTTTTTAACAGGAGGTAAGAGGTGGGACACTAGAAGAAGGAGGATCAGAGAAGTCAGGCTCAAACAGCGTTTTTACACAATACAGCGGATTAACCCCTTAGGTTCCACAGTGAGTATAACGAGCATGCTTTACTGCATATACAGACTGGTTTTACGGTTGTGGGTTTAGTAACACTTTATTACATAGAATGCATTAGGGTGAAAAAGCTTAAGGCCTTAGAACCACTTTAACTTGTTGAAGAACAGGATGTTTATAATTTTAACTTGACAGACAAGGAGTCAAAAGCAAGCTCACAGCTGCAGAATGAGAGCAATAATTTAAAGGTCATAAATTATGGTTACCTCAACTAATAACCTGTAAAAACTTTTAAAGCATTGCCTATAGAGAATTTTGGGTATCGCGGAGTTTTTTTTTCTTTTGCAATTTCACTGGTAGCATGACATGTTTAGTATCTATTTACACATGAACAAGAAACTGGATATAATAATATTGTAATTACATTCAAATTAATTTAAGCGCATTTTTTTCCCGAAAATGTGTTTGATAAACAGCTGTGCAAATATTGTGCAACATAAGAAAAATCAACTACGACTGTTTTATTCTTCAGAGCTTCTGCTGTTTTTTTTTTTTATAGCGAATAAAAAAAAAAAAAAAAAATTCAGGGCTCAACAAATCCCAGTCGCCAGGATGACATGGTGACTACAAATTGCATCCTGGCGCCTTGGCTTTTGTCAGCCCATTCATTGTTGCAGGGATGCACACCCTTGCCATGGTCTGTCTGGCTCCACTGCCGACTGATTACTTCCACACATGCGGGTAAAGTGCCACTCCTCCCATGTGGGCCCAGAACTAGCACAGCAAGTACCGCAGGGTAGAAAAGAGGGAGTAAAACAGATATACGTCTGCTCCCCTTCCCATCTTGTTCCTGACCTGGAAGCACCTTGTGTGACATCACTTTCAGGTCACCATTGACAGTTCCCCAGGACAGCAAGGCCGAGAAAGAATGTAATTGCAGTGCGATCTGCCCTGCATTACATTCAGTGGAACACAGGGGACACATGCTGGGTCTTTCGGGAAAACTAAAAAAAGTAGCATTTTTTTTTTTTAAATTGTAAAAAATTTAAGTTACATCTACGAATATAACCCCCCCCCCCCCAAAAAAAAGACTAAGGTTCCCCCACTACCGCCTTTACGCACGTACAAATGTAAAAACATGCGTTGGAGCGCCTACGCATGAAAAGGTTGATTGCGATACACATGTTACATATCACCATGCACGCTGGAATGAGAGCAATAATTCTAGCACAATACCTCCTACGTAATGCTAAACTGATGACCTGTAAGGGCTTTTACAGTGTTGCCTATAGAAAATATAGGGTACTGAAGTTTGTCACCATTTCAAGAGCGCACGGAAATTTAAGGTTTGACATGTTGGGTATCTATTTACTTGGAGCAACCTCATCTTTTATATTTTACCAAAAACATGGTCTGTCTAAACCAATGAGAAGTAATGGAACAAGACTCTGGTTGATCTTAATGAGGACCATCAGGAATGACAGCCAGCTAGCTTTCCTAAACTCCCTGCCTGAACTACAGTGGGTATAGAAAAGAATCACCCCCTTTACAATAATCACAATTTGTTGCTTTGCAGCTTGAAAGGAAGTCAGATACAGTTTTTGTTTTATACAGCTGTATTAACTCAGTGCAACTTATAACATCCAAGTGAAAGATATAACACCAACACTGCAAAATATATTCCCATAGGCAACAAGTTTAAAAGGCTAAAAATCAAACCTATGTGGCTTACAGCCAAAGTTAAAAAAGCTATAAATAATAAGAAAAGTGCTTTTTATTAAATATAAAAATGAAGGAACGTTATCATTGTTTAAATATTATAACAATATGCAAAAAGGAAATAAAGGCTGCAAAAATGTAAAACGAACGACAGATTGCAAAAGATAGGACAAACCCACAAAAAAACTCTTCCAATATATTAATAGTAAAAAAGGTCAGGTCTGAGCATGTAGGCCCTTTACAAAATGATAAAGAGTGGGTGACTGGGGACAAGGCAAATTTATTAAATACCTTCTTCAGCTCTGTGTATATAAAGGAGCATGGGGGGAGCTCTTGTCCATAATGGGCATGGTATTGACACAGCTCCAGATGATCCACATTGGCTCAAAATGGATATGATCCAAAAATATTTAAACAGAATAAAGGTGAATAAAGCACCTAGACTGCATGGCATACACCCACGAGTCCTTATAGAATTGAGCTCCATCATTTCACAGCCATTGTTTCTAATTTTTGGGGACTCTTTAATGACTGGCATAGTACCACTGGATTGGCGTAAGGCCAGTGTATAAAGATTTTGAACCCTTTTTAAATATAGGTACCAAAGTAATTCTAGACCTATTAGTTTAACATCTATAGTTGGGAAGATACTGGAGAGTTTATTAAAAGACCACATAGATGAGTTCTTGCTGGAAAAAAATATTTTAAGCAACAGACAGCATGGATTCATGAAAGACAGAAGTTGTCAAACAAATCTGATTTCTTTTTATGAGGAGGTAAGCAAAACCGTGGACAGAGGGGTGGCGGTGGACATGGTATACTTGGATTTTGCAAAAGCATTTGACACAGTTCTCCACACACAGCTAATGTGTAAGGTAAAGTCTACGGGCTTGAGAAAATCCGTATGTAAATGGATAGAAAACTGGCTAAAAGATCGTATTCAGAGAGTAGTGGTTATTGATTCATACTCTGAATGGTCTAGGGTTGTCAGTGGTGTACCCCAAGGTTCAGTGTTCGGACCCTTACTTTTTAATATATTTATAAACTATATAGGGTCTGAGATTAAAAATCCCATTTCAGTCTTTGCAGATGACACCAAGCTGTGCAGTGGAATAATGTCCTTACAGGATGTCTTCAACTTACAAGCTGACCTCAATGCACTGTTTAATTGGGCAACTATGTGGAAAATTAGGTTTAATGTTGATAAATGTAAAGTTATGCACTTGGGGGCTAAGAATATGCATGCATCATACATACTGGGAGGGGGTTCTGGTAGATCACAAGCTTAATAATGGCAAGCTACAATTTCTAAAGTGAACAAAATCCTCTCTTGTATTAAAAGCGGAATAGACTCCACAGAGAGAGATATCACTTTACCCCTGTACAAATCATTAGTAACACCTCATCTGGAATATGCAGTTCAGTTTTGGCCACCAATTCACATAAAGAACATTGGGGAACTGGAGAAAGTATAGAGAAGGACAACCAAACTGATAAGAGGCATGGAGGAGCTCAGCTATGAGGAAAGATTAGAGGAACTGAATTTATTTTCTCTTGAGAAGAGGAGATTAAGGGGGGATATGATCAACATGTATAAATATATCAGTGGTTCATACAGTGAACTCGGTGTAGAGCGATTCATCCTGAAGTCATTACAGAGGACAAGGGGGCACTCATTACATCTGGAGGAAAAGAAATGTAATCTTCAAATACACAACAATCACTGAGTTGGAAATAGGAGCATTCCCCCCCCCCCCCCCCCGAAAATAAATTTACTTGCAAACTCAATCAGGTATAGCTAGTCTTCTCAATGGCACACAAAGCCATTTGACGTTAAACTGTGATCTGCTGTGGTCATTTTGATTTGCTCAGCATGAAAAAAAAGAGCTTTCCTGGAGCATTTCAGTCCCTGATAGTGCAACTGAAGCAAACAATCAACTATGGGTGGCAAGGCACTGTAAGAAGATATCCGGGATAAAGTCTTGGACAGGCACAAGTCAGGAGATGGATACAAAAACTTTTAAAAAGGCTTTGTCAATGCCTAGAAGCATAGTGAAGTCTGTTATTAAGAAGTGGAAGGTATTTGGTACAACGCAGACCCTCCCTGGATCAGGACATCGCTCCAAACTGGATGAAAGATCCAGGAAGAAACTGGTCAGAAAGGCTACCAAAAGGTCTACAGCAATTCTAAAGCAGCTGGAGAAACTTATGACAAAGAGTGTGGAGAATTTGTGATGTTGTCACATGCACACAATGATCAAACATGGCATTGCATGGGAAGGGTTGCAAGAAAAAAGCCACTCAAGAAAGCCACTCCTCAGTCACGACTGAGCTTTGCCAAAAACGCATCTTGAAGGTTATGAAGCCACATGAAAAAAGATTTTTTGGCCAGATGAGGCTAAAATTACATTATTTGGCCCGTTAATACTAAATGATATGTCTGGCGGAAATCCAATACAGCTCCCCATCTAAAATAACAGTAAAGCATGGAGGTGGTAATAGCCTGTCACTGAGGTGTTTCTCTGCAGCAGGGACTGGAGCAATTGTCAGGATAGAGGGTAAAATGGATGGGGCAAAATTCCGTCAATTTCTTGAGGAAAATCTGCTACCCTCTGCCATAAAGTTGTCAATAGGAAGAAGGTTTAGCTTACAACATGACAGCAAAAATGACCACACAGTGGATGAAGGAGAAAGGTCAATGTCCTTGCATAGGCTAGTCAGAGCCTAGACTTAAAACTCATTGAAAATCTGAGGAATGACTTGAAGACTGCAGTCCACAGTCTTTGCAGTTCTGCAAAGAATGGGCAAATATTGCAAAGTCTAGATGTGCAAGGTTAGTAGAGACATATCCCAACATACTAAAGGCTGTAATTGTAGGCCTTGTTCCAGGTGTGCAAGAATCGATTCTTGCGCGCTGGAACTCAAATACTCCTCCTACTGTAGCTGACTGGAAGCAAAATATTTATCAACATCATGGATGCTCGCGCAAATTTGAGAAACTTTGGGCCGCATGTTTGCCCACTCCAGGTTTAGCCCCTTTTGATCTGATAATGCATAGGCTGCTGTAATTGTTTTCAAATATAATCTGATTGTTACTTTATAATGTCATCCTATGACCCTTCTGAATTGATTGGTGGGTGGAAGGGTGCTCTCTGTTCCTCATGGGTCCATTGTAGTGGGGATATGCCTATTGTTCTGAATGTGTGGAAATTACTATGTGATCTTACCGCATAATAACACTGTAAATTTGCAGACACTCTTCGATTGAATGCATAACTGGTAACACTGGAAAGTTTCCTTTCTTGCGTTGTTCTTTTTGTTAATGAATGATTCTTTGGTACCATTCTTTATGTGATCCTTTATTTTGACATTTGTATGACTTGCAATTCTTTTAAATCTGGAATAGCGTTTATTAATGTTTTAATTGGAGCAAAATATGGTATAACAAAATACTGACACAAGGGGGCATCCCTTTTTCCAACTCAGTGATTTTGTTTTTTGAATTTTTTTCTGACATGTTGGTGTTCTGTCTTTCATTTAATGTTATAAAATTGCACCAAGTAAATATAGCTGGACAAAACAAAAACTGTATGTTTTAATTTCAGGCTGCAAAGCAACAAAATGTGATTATTTTAAAGGGGGGCTGATGCTTTTCTATACTCATTGTATACACAGGCAATGGAAGGAGATCTGGGCAGAGAGTGAAGAACAATGTCCAGGTTGAAGTGAGAGGCCAAAAACTACCTTGGGAAGGAAGTTCTTCGCCTCAGCACCACTTTGTCTAACACCCTAGTCTAAGGGGTTCTTTACAGTATAAGGACACAGCCCATGCACTTTTACAGAGGTGCTGTACGCCTTTTACATATATGGAAATACCCAGTAAGCTACAGCTTTTAGCATTGTGGGAAGAACCAGTTCAGCGATGGCTATGTCCTTCAGAACCTGGGCTTTAACAGCCATGGTTTTAAGGGGTCATTCACAGTAGCGTTTGGGGGTAGAGCCATGCATTTACTGCCTCCCAACTGCTATGCCATTTAGGTGAAGGGGGCCCATTCTGCAAGCACCCCAAAAACTGCATGCCAGTGCGGTTTTGAAGTGTTTTATCACCTCCGCACTGTGTCAAATGCTCACTGAAAAGCGCCCTGAACGTGGATCACTCTTCAGAGAGAAAACTTGTGTGAATGAGCCCTAAAGACAAAGACTGCAGCAAGCAAGATGATAAATTGGTCCTTAAAAAAAGATCTAGGCTTCTGCAAGAGTCCACAAAGTGTCTACCAGGTGTCCTATCAGGTCAGAGCACCACATGCTCCTGGGCCAATCTGAGAATCACTGGAATGTCTGTGGTCTGGATCTTATAAAGCAGGTGAAGGAATTTCAGGGGCGGAAAGGCATAGATCAAGATGTACTCATCCCACAAAGCTATACAAAAGTATGCAATGCTTCTACTAGATTAGCCTTTCTGTAGGCTCTTGACAGGGCTGTAACATGAGGTTCTGTCCAGGGCAAGATGCACTCTACCTCTTTTGCTGCGGCAAGGCTTCTTCTTCCACCCTGACAAAATGATGTATGCTACTTTTGAGGCATTGTCCAACTGAGATTGGATTGAATGACCCTTCAGAACAACCAATGCTGCCAGGACAACCATATCATCTGAAGTCCTAGAATGCTGATCAGGAAAGGAGATTCCTGACATTCAAGTCTTCTGCCCCAACAGATCTTTCAAAAGACAGGAAAAAAGCACAGCTGAGACTCTGGAGCTAGAATCCTGAGCCACCAAGCCAGGACAACTTGGTCTTCGATGCCAGATGAATTGATCTGTTCAAGGACTGGACTGACTTGTCCCACAATGACAGAATATTGTGTTGTAGGGATGTGGAGTGGAACTAGTAAATAGGACTGCCTCAAAGAAGGCTACCATGCATTCCCAGGATTCTCGTGCATAAGTGAAGATTCCAGCCACTTGACTGAAGAGTACAGGTGTCAAAGCAAGGAGTTTTAGATTTTTCTTGGAGAAGAAATTCTAAGTGATGAGCTCATTGCAGTGCCGATTTCTAATGTTTCAAGATCCAGCCATACCCGTGCAAAATCTGGAAGTACACTTTCAAAATCGGAAGCCATTTTCTGCCAGGTTCTTGTCTCAATTTCTGAAGGTTTAGGATCCAACCAAACCTTTAAAAGGGTCTGAATGGTAAGGGCTATTTTGTCTGCCAGATCGTGTGCAGGACATTGTCTAGTTAACCCACAATAAGAATGCCCCAAGAGTCTAAGGGTAAAGTTGGAGCCCAACACCTTGGTGAACACCCTAGGTGCAGAACAATGGCCGAATGTTAGGACCACAAACTGTGGTGAGGACCCACAGCAATTTGTAGGAATCATTGATGAGCTGGAAAAAACAAGGACATGCAGGTATACATCCATGATGTCCACAGAGACCAGAAAATTATCCTGATTGAGGGAGGCTATGGCCAACCTGGTGTATTACATACAGAATTTCTGGGCCTGAATGAAGACTTTTAAGGCACTAAGATCCAAGATAGGGAAGATGCCGCCTTTGGGCTCTGAAACGGTGAACTCCTGAAGCCATTCGACCAGAGGGAGATGAGTACTGACACCCTGCTGCACAAAACCAGCTAAGCCTGTATGAATATCTGCTAACCTGCAAGGTTGGAAGTGATGTATGGGGCAAACCTCTCAATTTGTAGACACTAAAAACCTGTTCCCACACCCAATAATCTGATGCAAGCTGTCCAAATGTTCAGAAAGGGTGACCCCCCTGCAGGTTTGGAGCTATAAAAAAAAAATTCAAGACTGGGAACAGAGCTTGTAGATGCTATAGACTGAGCCTTTGGTTTTAAAATGGAAATGGCATCTTTCGGCTTGAGGAGGCAGTCATCTGCTATCAGTCCAAGAGATAAGTTCTTTGTCAAGGAGTGGAGAAACTATGCATTAAACAGCCTTAGTCACTGATGGCTCAAAGACCCTATGCCAATCATATAAAGAATCTGTGGGAGAAGGGACAGCAGCATCTGTGGTGAGAGTCCGCAAAGAAACTGAGCTAACTGGCCCATAAAATAGTACATAACTGTAGTGAAATTTTCCACAGATCAGGCAGAGAAAGCAGCCATGCTCTACAGGACTAGAGAAAACTCCAAAGATGGAGTAGACTTGAGCAGAGGGCAAAAATCCCAGCTGCAAGCTTTGGTGCAAGGAGCACCAGAGCAGTTAGTGAAGCGTTAGTTGAGTCACATAGCGGAACAGTACTAAACCCCCTGGAGGTAGAAAAAAAAAAACCATCAACATCAAAATGTAATTTCTTCAGTGAGGCAAGGTCGAGGTTGCTTCATGGTCTGAGGCTGCCCTGCTGCCTCACAGTCATAAAAGGTCACTTTTATGAAGGCACAATGAATCTGATATTGTAACAAAAGTTACAGAAAAGCATTTTTACAGACAAATGGTATTTATTCTTTATTGAGACCGATAGGTAATTCCAAAGGGTTCATATGCTTCTTGCAGTTGTACACATCTATCACACACCATTAAAACCCAAGTTTAGTTAAAATAAATACAAATAAACACAAACAACATTACTATCAGTGTGATGGATTCCTTGTGCTGAGGTCTTCACATTTAGGGGAAATCTTCCTCCTTAAAATGCCTACTCCCTGACTTTTGCAGTGGGAGTTAAAAAGGACTGAGGGAGCTGCAACAGGCACTCAACAGTCAACAGTTATGCTCACCCTTCTGTCCCCCTCCATTAACAAAAGCCATACTAAAGCTTCTATGAATGAATAGTATCTATGAGTGGAGGACAGAGGCACAGGCGAATGATTGAAAGATCTGGTCCCACCATTCACAGAGCAGGCTTCATTCATAGAAGCTATAGTACAGCTATGAATGGGGAAGGGTGGAAAAAGTCACTCTTTGACAGGTGCTCATCACAGTTCTCTCAATTATACTAACCCCCCGCTGCATGGGAAGATAATGGCAGCGGGGGTGCATCATCAGAGAAGGAAGATTTCCCCTAAACAAGGAGACAGCAGCACAAACTTAACTTTAAGCACATGAGTTGTTCCAATCAATAAGATGTCACATTACATAGTGCCCGCCTACAAAGGACTTTTTTCTAGAGATATTAGTTTGCAAAACACACATTTTAATTACAGGAGAATGTCAAAAATTCTGGACACATTTCTGGCTGACATTTATTTCAGCCATACTTACTTGGTACAAAGCCTACTAGTGAAAGTTCAACACTTCATTTATGCAATGTTTGCATATCATATGAAATATATATTTTTTTTTCTTTCTCATGTCCTCCCTACATCACATCTGGTAACATATAAAAATGATATTGGCTAGGACAAAAAAAGAAAACCAGTAATGCTCAAATTTAGCCAGCACTCTTATGAGCTTACCTCCTGAAAAAGAGTTGACATTTCACAAACCAAGCAAGAGTTGGGGCTTTGCATTTCACATTTGTGGCGATCAGAAAGGAAGAAGTCTCGTAGCAGGGGAGTGTGGGTAAGTGCCTGGACGATACAGTTCATAAAACATGTATTCCCGAGATTGATTAGGCCTCGCAGACCTAGGAAAAAGTGGCAAATTAGTGCTTGCTCTTCCTTAGAGAACAGAGCATGGTCATGCTGATGTGTAGTAGTAGTAGTAGTAGTAGTAGTAGTAGCAGTAGTAGTAGTAGCAGTAGTAGTAATCACCTATCAAAGGGAATCACTAAATTCAAATAAAGCAGACTATTTTTTAAAAAATGTCAACTTTATAAATCAAATAAATCAAATGTCACCAAGCAATTGAGCAGGTGTACCCAATAAAGTGACCGATGAGTGTATATCAAGGAGGAGAATTTACTAAAATTGGAGCGCTCAGAATCTGGTACAGCTGTGCATTGTGTAGCCAATCAGCTTCTAACTTCAGCTTGTTCAATTAAGCTTTGACAAAAAGCCCTGGTTCACACAGGATCCAACTTTGAAGTAAGTCGCATGTCAGTGTGACTTCAGCTGCGACTTGAAAGACATCTGTGTGACTTCATGCACAGAAGTCAATACATGTTGCACCTGAAATCGCAAAGAGACCCCCCCCCCCCCTCAGGAGCAGGGTATTTTTTTGCTATTCGGTACTGCGCTTACTTTAACTGGTAATTGCGTGGTCAAGCAACACTGTAACCAAATTCAAAAACTAAAAAGTTCTTCAGAATTTTAGGCGAAAATATTTTCTAATACAGTGATCGTTGATAAATACTATACACGGTCACTGTACTAATGGCACTGGCTGGGGAGGGGTTAACATCTAAGGACAGTCAAAGGGTTAACTGTGTGCCTAACAAGTGTAATACATGTATGCTGCATTTACGAATATAAATACACACCATAGTTTGTAGATACTATAAACTTTCACACAAACCAATTAAAATACACGTACTGGGATTTTTTTTTTTTTTTTTTAACCACAGACATGTATGAAAGTCTTATTTTTCAATCTTTTTTAGTTTATACAATAAAAAAACCCAGAGGTGATCAAATACCACCAAAGGAAAGCTCTATTTGTGAGAAAAAAAAAAATTAATTTGGGTACAGTGTTGCATGACCATGCAATTGCCAGTTAACGTAGCACAGTGCTGAATAGCAAAAAATTGGCCTGATCATGAAGGGGGTAAAACCTTTCCGGAGCACAAGTGGTTAAGTAAATTTGTTTAAAAAGGACATAAAAAACTTAAGGGATTCAACAGAACAGATAATGGCCACCCATACAGTGGGGCAACAGCAAAGAAAGATAAACCTGACTGATTTGTGTTTTCCTAAAAACACGATTACCATGCTGCTTTTTCAGGAAAACTACACATCTTCAGTATGCACTCACATAAAAGGTCACTTTTCAATCTTTACACAGCCCAAGGTAAATCAGAGGTCTATGAAGCATGGCAACCCAAACCTAGAAAGTCTCCTTCTGGTAAGTGTGCACCAGAAAACCATTTACTGACCCTCAGCATTCCAAAATTCATAAAAGAATGTCACTTACATCCCTCAGCTAAAAGAGACGTCACATAAAAGATGGAAAGGAAGGAAGAGGCTAGAAAGAAACAGTTATGCAACAGAGGAGGGAGACAGAGAAGTGGTGATAGGCTAGATGATAAGTGGGGTGAGTAGCTGCAGACACACATGAGAGGGGAAGAGGTAAAAGACTCCAGAAATCGAATCACAATAAAAAATTCCTAAATGGTTGAAAAAGATGCAGTCATGCAGTAGAGAAGAGGCGAGAATCTGCAGAGAAAATGTAATGTGCACGCATAGCTGCCTCTATTTTCAAAAACATATACAAATCATTTCAAAAATCTTTATATGTCCATCAAGATATTTCACAACCATTTAAAAAATAACTAAAAAAGCGGGTATATTAATAAAACGCAGTTATCGCATATACTTTGTGTGTGTATATATCACACACACACACACCAAAAACATTAAAGGAACACATTTAATCAGAGTATAGCATCAAGTCAATTAAACTCCTGGGATATTGATCTGGTCAGTTAATTAGAAGAGGGGGTTGTTAATCAGTTTCAGCGGCTTTGGTGTTAATGACATTACCAACAGGTGCACTAGATGGGCAACAATGAGATGACCCCCAAAACAGGAATGGTTTTGAAGGTGGAGGCCACTCACATTTTTTTTCCCAACTCATCTTTTCTGTTTTTCATTAGTTTTGCATTTGGCTAGAGCCAGTGTCACTACTGGTAGCACGAGGTGATACCTGGCCCCTACAGAGGTTGCACAGGCACTCAAATTCGTCCAGGATGGCACATCAATACGTGCCATTGCCAGAAGGTTTGCGGTGTCTCCCAGCACAGTCTCAAGAGCATGGAGGAGATTCCAAGAGACCGGCAGTTACTCTAGGAGAGCTGGACAGGGCTGTAGAAGGTCCTTAACTCATCTAAAGGACCGGTATCTGCTCCTTTGTGCAAGGAGGAGCAGGATGAGCACGGCCAGAGCCCTACAAAATGACCTCCAGCAGGCCACTGGTGTGGATATCTCTGAAAAAACTATCAGAAACAGACTTCATGAAGGTGGCCTGAGGGGCCCCACATCCTCTAGTGAGCCCTGTGCTCACTGCCCGGCACTATAAAACTTGACTGGCATATGCCATTGAACACCAGAATTGGCAGGTCCGCCACTGGCGCCCTGTGCGTTTAACAAATGAGAGCAGATTCACCCTGAGCACATGTGAGAGAGGTTAAAGGGTCCGGAGAAGCCATGGAGAACGTTGTGCTGCCTGTAACATCGTTCAGCATGACCGTTTTGGTGGTGGGTCAGTGATGGCTTGGGGAGGCATTATTCATGAAGGGACGCACAGACCTCTACAGGTTCTGATACCTAATGCGCCATTAGGTATAAAGATGAGATCCTTGGACCCATTGACAGACCCTACACTGGTGCACTGAGTCTTGGGTTCCTCTTGGTGTACGACAATACCTGGCCTCATGTGACAAGAGTATGCAGGCAGTTCCTGGAGGATGAAGCAATTGACACCACTGAATGGCCCCCACACTCGCCTGACCTAAATCACATAGAACACCTCTGGGATATCATGTTTCGGTCCATCCGACACCACCAGGTTGCACCTCAGACTGTCCAGGAGCTCAGTGATGCCCTAGTCCAGATCTGGGAGGAAATACTCCAAGACACCATCCGTCTCATTAGGAGCATGCCCCAATGTCGTCAGGCATGCATACGAGCACGTGGGGGCCATACAAACTACTGAGTACTATTTTGAGTTGCTGCAATGAAATTTCAGCAAAATGGACTAGCATGCTGCATAAATATTTCACTTTGATTTTCGGGGGGGGGCCTTTAAATTCAGTGCTCTGTAGGTTGAGAATGTTAATTTCCATCAAACGATGGGGTATCCTTACGTTCCTAACACATTACCCAGTCCATATCAGTATAGATATCCAGCATGATATTTTTCCCCATTGTGATCTGATGTGTTTTCAAAGTGTTCCTTTAATGTTTTTGAGCAGTGTGTGTAGATTAGATAGATAGATAGATAGATAGATAGATAGATAGATAGATAGATCTATCTACACACACATACATATACACACACACTGTATATAAGTATTTTGCAAAAGACTTAGGCAGGTGTGAAAAAAATGCTGTAAATTAAGAATGCTTTCAGAAATGAAGTGTTAATAGTTTATTTTAATCAGTTAAAAAAAATTTCAGTTAAGAACAGAAGAGAAAACCATATTGAATCAATGTTTGGTGTGATCACGCTTTGCCTTCATAACAGCATCAATTCTTTTAGGTACTCTTACACACAGGAACTCAGCAGGTAGGTTGTTGCAAACATCTTGGCAAACTAACCACAGATCCTATGTAGGCTGCCTCAAATTCTTGTCTCTTCATGTAATCCCAGAAAAACTTCATGATGTTAAGATCAGGGGTCTGTGGGAGCCAAACAATCACTTCCAGGACTCCTTGTTCTTTCTTACACTGAAGATAGTTCTTAATGACATTTTCTGCATATTTACGGTCATCCTGCTGCAGAATAAATTTGGGGCCAATAACACACCTCCCTGATGAGATGGATTGAAGGACAACTATCTGCCTGGATCTCTCAGCATTGAGGAAACCATTGATCCTGACCAAATCTCCAACTCCATTTAAGGAAATGCAGCACCAAACTTGCAAGGAGCCTCCGCCATGCTAAACTGTGCCTGCAGACACTCATTGTATTGTTCTCCTGCCCTTCGTGAACAAACTGCCTTTTGCTAAAACCAAATATTTCTCATTTTGGCTCATCAGTCCAGAGCACATATATAAATCATGCTTAATAGTATAGTACATTGAATATAACCACGTTTTTCTGACTAACTGAACATCACATCAACGCTTTGTGCCTAAAAGTAAAATGTATCCCAAAGTTATGTAAATAAAAAATTAAATATATGAGAAACCAATGAAAGAGAAATTACGTCCTATGTTTAACATTACCAAAATGCAAAAAAGGGGAGTAGGGTGCATGTGTAATCTTGTACCTACCTATGGTGCAGTTTGTGGTTATTTTCCTTCTTTTGGGGTTATGCCGTAACAGCTCTAGCTCCCTCTTTGTTGGCTCCCACGTTGAATACTTTTCTCCAACACCTAGAATGAACATGCACAAAACTAATTTGAAGTGCAATGTGGATGAGTGTATTCCAACAATAAAGTACAAAATACACACATGTAAAAATGTTTGTCCTCAAAAGGTCACCCAGACAAAAACAAACATTCTTGCCATGCTTTCTTGCTGAGCTTTAACCACTTGAAGACCAGCATGTTAACCACTTGACCCCCAGGACTAAATTCTGACATCTCACATATATGTAAAAATCTGCCTTTTTTTGCTAGAAATTTACTTAGAACCCCCAAACATTACATTTTTTTTTGCAGAGGCCATGGAGAATAAAATGTTTTTTTTTTTTTAATGCATGATTTTTGCGCAGCAGTTTATCAAATTTTCAGGAAAAAAACACACTTTATTGAATTCTAGTGCACACAAACACAATATAATACACAATTTTAGGTAAAATATAATACACTGAGTAAATAGATACCTAACCTTTCATGCTTTAAAACTGCGTAAGCCTGTAGAATGACAGCAAACTACACTACCTAAAAGTTTCCATAGGCGACGGTTATATTACTATTAATTTTATTGTTTTAATTTTTTTTTTTTTACACTGTACTTTTTTTTTTTATCAACTTTATTGCTATCACAAGGGATGAACAACATCCTCTGTGATAGCATGGGCCATTACAGTTCCTCTGTATGGAGAGATCCCCATGTCTTTCCTCCAGCCTCCAAAGCATCTGGATCAAATAGACATTGGTCTTCCACCATCATTATGAATCTCTCTATAAAACTGCTCCTTCCTACCCTGACACATAAGCCATCCTGAGCCTAGGGATAAATATTTGGGGGAGACGGGCATGCTCCATCTATCTGCAAGTGTACAATCCAAACGCACACGTTCCTGTGTTAAAAATGGCTGTGTATAAGTAGGTGCTGCAGCGACCGTCGGCTGGAACCGAACAAAATCAGAAAGGAAAAATGTCACCAGCACACTGTGGATCACCAATATGGGTCCAAAAGTTTGAATGAACGATCACATAGTTACAGCAATGTAACGTTTCGGAGCATGGCAGGACCCCTTCATCAGGCCATGCTTGCTCCATCTATCTGACTCAGCCCTCTCCAAGTTGGACTACCCAATAAAAGAGGAGGAACTGGCAATTGCTTTGTCCCAGATGCAACCTAGCAAGGCACAGAGGTCGGACAGCTATTCTTTCCTATAATATAAAATCGTTTTTCTGTTTTTCTCGCCTCCCCCTTTTTTTGTTTTTTTAAAAGCCTTTACACAATGAGTTCCCCCTCATTTTATTTTATAAAAGAGCTAACCCTGGAGGAGGAAGGAGGAGAAGGAGGGTGGAGTTACAACAAAGTGCTTTTGACTCTTTTGTAGTAAGAGGTGTCCACATCTTTTAGTGATTTTAGCTGTCCAAGAGTGTGCACAAGATTTGATCACTTCTGGGGAAAAATGGAGAACCATGAGAAGTTCAGTTTGAAGCAGAGCACATTTAATTAATTGTGGATTATTGTGACCACTGAACTTTAATGAACGTTTGAACGGTTTCATATGATGGAGTGGACACTAACAATTCACCTAGCAGTCTGCTGGATTTTATAAAGGATAGGTTCACCTTATGTAACAGGTTACACCCGTATTCAGGGTGTAACCTGTAACATGGACCACCCCCGCACCTCTGTTGTGATAGCTAGCAGGGGATTTTCTGCAGCCCACTAGCTGTATGCCCGCATCATTCATTCACAGTTCTGTGAATGGATTTTCTACAGCCTTTGCAGCTGTCGACTTGTAGTTCTCTTTGAACTACCATGGCGCTGTTGAACGCTGTGGTAATGCATTTATTCTTCCTGTCAGTGTAGAGCTGTCTGCCTGTATGATGTATCGAATAGACAGATTTCACTGACAGTATGCAGGAGAACTGCATGAGACCAGTGATCTACTGATCGCTGGTACAATGCTTTCAAAGACAAAAAAACAAAACAAAAAGCAGTAAATGCACTTTTTATTAACCTGCATTTATAATTTTTTGTTAAAAGGTGAACTTATCCTTGAAGTATTTATGTGTTTTTGTGATGCACTTTATTCATGTGTTGTCACTGCATTATAACATTTTTAGGATTTTGGGTACTGTTATAGCACTCTGTATTTTTATTTAAGCGCTGCTTTGTTTTTTATAATGAGGTGGTAAAGCTTTGAGAACTCTATTTTGTACCCCTTTGAAACTCACTGGTTTAGCCTAGGTTCCCAGTATTGCAGGGACTGTGGCCCACTTTTGCTCAGGCATGGCAGCCCATTCATTTGAATGGGCTGCTGTGCCTGTGTTTCCCACAGGAAAAAAGGGAAATGTACCTTTTTAAAAACACAGCTACAGGGAAACCACATGGTCTTTTTGCAGATGGACTGTGGGCTGAGATGCATGGGGGTGCCATTCAGAATAAATGGCAGCCCCACACGTCTTGTTGGAGCAGCGCAATTTGGTTGCGGGAACAGGTGCAATTCCTGCACTCGCAACCAACCCACAAGTGTGAACCCAGCCTTAGCGAGGTTGCACCAGTCTCGATACACTGCTACTTTTAAATTATAAAAAATAGTGAGGGCCTAACAAAAAAACCCAAAGATAAAATGCTAAAGAAAATAAATGAACTGAGGACTCAGAGTGGGGTTGGGTTATAAAGTAGGAATCCAAAGGGATGCCCTCAAAAACTTTGCCATTGTTAAATCACCTAAAAAGGTACATGCCTATAACTCATGGTATATGAATAACGTGCCTGCATCCTCTAGTGTACTATAAAGATAATTATGACAGAGGTCTTTCTTCTTCAATAAAGACATTAACAGGATGTATGTAAATGTAATGTTTACCTATGATGATATATCCCAAAGTACAAAGAACAAAGCCAGAAGAAAGCAGCTTAAAATTGCAAAGATGCATCCTTTATCCCTGTATATTTGCATGAGCTAATGTGTTTTAAAAAGTTACCCTTTAAGGCAGTGTCAAGTCTTAGGGAATTGTATGGTAGAAAAATGCACTCCCTCAGAACAATTCTCTCCCATCTTAGAAAAAAAAACACCGCCACCACCAAACACCCAGCAATATCAACTCCCACAATTTTATCAAATTCTTTAAGCTTTCAGTTACTTTAGAGAGACTTTTCTTATATCATAACACACATTAAAGGCACAAAAAGAATAAAAGTCAAATATGGGTTTATGCATTATTGCTTCATTTTCACATTTTTTAGCTATCAATAAAAAGGTTTTGCTTTGTAAAAACATCTATCCTACTAGTTTGAAGGAGAAGTAAAACCAAATGTGAAAAAACCTACCTGTCATTGTATACTGGTAAGGAGAAGCCAATGACGGAGCAAAAGCTAAAGAACACAAAGAACATAAACTTTGTTACTTTAACATATTAGGTTTTGCAGATCCAATATAACATAGTTGTATCAACTTTCAGAACATACAAGCCAATTTCAATAAATATAAATATCATTGGAATATACTGTATGTATAATTTCCATAAGATAACAACAACACTGCAACACTCTAATGTAGTATTATAACAAAGAATTCACACAGCCTGCCTTCTGAACTACAGAGTTGCTGAGAAGAGGAGTTTCAAGAGTCACGCAGGAGTCACCAATTGCAGGCAGCAAGGTACATGGAATATGTAGTTCTTAGAAACAAAGTGTTTGTACGCCTCAGACATGAAATATAAACAAAGCATATTCCTCTATAATATGTACTTGTCTCTATCCAGAGCACCAAGTGTCATTTCTGTCTGCTGCCTCATTCCTCTATCTGCATGAGTCACATCTGACAAGTTTTCCCCAACAAGAGAAAAATGGTGCTGGGGTGGAAGCTCCAGCTGATTGACAGCATCAGCTCTGTTTCTGTGTGCTGTGTAAAAGAAGGGGGGTCCTTCCCTCCAGTCAGCTCTCCTCACTGATGAAATTTCAGCTCCCTTTCCCCTGTTTTTCAGAGCTGAGAGATCCTATGTACATTGTGCACTTTTGAAGGATGTAGAGGAAAAAGACAGCTGTAGATAAACAGCTACAACCTATGCAGGAGGATTTGTTTCATCTCTGTATCACCTGAGGTCAGTCACTTCACAGGGTATATGTAAGGGTTTACAATCACTTGAAATCAAACAGCAAAGGGGAAGCTGCAAAGTAAGAAGGGAAATCAGGATGTTGCAGGAAAAGATAGTAAGAAAGGCAACATTAAAAAAAGTTCCTTTTTTTTTTCTAAACCAGTTTCCCAGCCAATAGCAAAATGACGGTCCAGCGGGACTTTCGTCGAACTGGGTGGGTGTCATATGACATCCTCCCGGATTGCTGGGGCGTGCTGTGGCAAGATTTGTCACTGATTGTGTCCATCGGGCACAGCCGATGACAGATCTGTGTACTGGCCCATTGCCAGTACCATGTGACCAATCAAAGCAGGTCACAGACAACTGCCATCCATTGTATACAATTGTGTTGCTAGCTGTGATTGGTCAGTGATCACATGGTATAGATTGGGCTAACCACAGCCCACCTGTGTCATGTGATTAGCTGTGGCCAATCACAGCTAATCACAACAAAAAACACTGAATGAATCTGTAACTGAACCGGAACCCGACCACTCTTGGGTATATTCCGTTATACCGCAGCTTCCCCTGTCCGAACACCATCCACGGACCACACCCTTGAAAACCACACATCATCAGCCAGCCCCATCAGTGGGAGGGCTGCAGGGAACCACCCCCACCAACCCAAGACACACAATAGAACAAAGGAATAGCCACATCATGGCAGTAGACAATGGGCAACCATGTGGCCCAGAAGAAATGAACACACGCTATACACAAGACTGGGACATTCACATGTACACCCTGTACCCTAACAGGCAAAGGATCACTTAAACATAAGGATTTGGGAGGATGATACAGAGGTCCCCCTACCCCCAAAAGTCACTCCCGTCACAGAATCAATTTCATTTAGCAAAATGCTTGCCTATAGCAGGGAAAAAAATAAATACTGACTGCCCAGAGTAGTACAAGGTTACCATGGTAGCATTATATTACTCTAGTTATAGTGTTTTAAAAAAGAACTAAAAAAAATTTAAAAAATGAAAAACAAATGTTATATACAATCCAACGAGGATACTAGTGCTGGTGAAAACCAGGGATTCCCTCACTTTGGAGGGATTACCTATCACTTCCCGTTTTGGCAATGGACTGCAAGGCACAGAGTAATCTTTGGGACTGAAATGCATGTGTTCTCACCAGGCAAAAAAAGGATTACCAGGTACAACAGACCTTCCTGGAAGGTATTTTTCTTGATTTTAGCAAAGGTAGGAACAACAGACTCAGTACCCCCTACACCCCTTATGCTTTAACCACTTGCCTACAGGGCACTTATACCCCCCTTCATGCCCAGGCCAATTTTCAGCTTTCAGCGCTGTCACCCTTTGAATGACAATTGCGCGTTCATGCAACATTGTACCCATGTGAAATTTTTAGCATTTTTCACACAAAAAGTTTTCTTTTTCTGCCACTGGGTGTTTCATTTTTTGCACTATAAAAAAAAAAGCAATTTGAAAAAAAAAAAATAAATTGTTTCCATTATAAAATTTTGCAAACAGGTAATTTTCTCCTTCACTGATGTGCGTTGATGAGGTGGCATGGATAAGCAGCACTGATGGTCACTGATAGGCGGCACTGGCTGACAGCCCTGAATGGCAGCACTGACTGATGGCACTGATGGGCGCAACTGCTGGCCAGCACTAATGGGTGGCACTGATCATCAGTGCCGATCTCCTCTGTGACAGCTGTCAGTTATCGGCAGTGCTTTCCTTGCGCTGTGACAGCGTGAGGAGAGTGCTGCCGATAACCGGCAACTGTATTTACTCAGTGATCTCCTGTGTCACTGGACACAGCTGATCACATGTACAAGGCAGCTGTGATTGTCTTTTAACCTCATCATGTGATCAGCTGTACCCATAGGACACAGCAATCATAGAGATCACCGGGTGGCATGTCCCTGGGGGCGGGGGATGTGGAAGAGACGCGTTCTGGGAGGCTGTCATACGGTTACCAAGTGGTTGAAGTAGAACTAAAGACAAAACCTTTTTTTTTTTGCCCATTTTGAATGGGGCAAGGGAGGGTTAAAACCCCTGTCAAAAATTAACAAGGGTTGTAACCCTGTGGAGATTTCCCTTCACTTCCTGTCCCATAGCCAAAGCAGAAAGTGAGAGGAAACCGATCCAATGTGAGGGAATCCCTGGTTGTCACCAGGTCCCCATTGGAAGATTTCCCCCCTATTCCTGTTCTGGGAAAACACATTTAGGTTTCTCTTTTACTTTAGGTATTAGTGATAAATAAGACAAACAGGGTGAATCTCCCTAATGGGGCCCCAGACAGTAATGACATGCTGACAGGTATTCTAATCCCTCTCCACTTTATCTAAAACTAAAAGCCTTTTGCTTTTAGTTATACTTTAACACATGGTCTCCAAACTATAGCCCATGGGCCACATCCAGGCTCCTACATGAAATTTGGGTCACAAAAACTATCCATGAAAATACCTCAGCTGGCTGGTAGTGGTCTGTGTGTATTAAGACTGAAGACTGTATATGGAGAATGGAGTATTCACTGCCAGCCAGGCATGACCCTTCATCCAGTCCTCTCGATGGGCACTCCTGCATGTTAGGACTCCGATGGGTGCTCATGAATGCATAAGGATGACTAAATATGTATAAGGGGGAACTAAAAAAAAAAAAGTTTTTTTCAGCTCGAATGATTTTAAAATCCCACAATGTGGCCCTGATACTAAAAAGTCTGGAGACCCCTGCTGTAAGACCTGCATTTCAGCAGCCTTGAGATAGCAGATATAGCCTGTTGGAAAGAAGCCAGGGGATCCTTGCTAGAAGTCAGAGTAGGTCTGTGTACCAGGTCCATCTGGGACAGCTTGGTGCAACTGGGATAAAGGATTTCCTCTCTTGTTCTATTTTCAGGAGCAGACTAGGTCCTGACTAATTGTCACTTCAGAAAATGGGGTCAGGTGCTGCAGACGAACCAGACTGCTCTGAGCTCAAAGAACTTGATGGGGAGCTTTGTTTCCTACAGTGACCATGTTCTTTGGACTGTTGAGTATTGGAAGACTCCTCCTCAGCCTGAGAGACGAGCATCTGTTGTGACAACTTTCCAGTGATAAGGAAGGAAGGACTTCTTCACAGTTAGGGTTGGGGTGGAGATACACCTGGATGGGAAATTCCTTGCTGACTGGACAGAAGTATGTGTAAATGGAGAGAAGGAGCCTGCTACTTCCAGGTTGACAAAATATTGAGTTGGAGAGTTCTTAAATCGAATTGGACAAATGGCGCTGCCTCAGAAGAGGCTACCATTAACATTCATGGAAAATCTCATTGTGGGATACCTCTTGAATCTCAGTTCTTGAGCATGGGCTCTTAAAACAGACAGATGGGGATCTGTTCCCCATTCAACTGTTGGATCGGATAACAGTAGGCTGGAAATGGAGAGGCGGTCCATTTCCATCCGACACAGGTCGTATCCATGTCCGCTCTGCATATGCCAAATGGACATGTCATTTGCTTGCTCAGCGGCTGTGCTGATGGAGGAATCAAGTGATTTTCTTTCCTGTAACACGTGGTTGCAGGAAAAAAAAAGCTGCATCAACTATGGCCCGCCTTAATCTTTCTTCCTTTTCATTAACGGGCAGGCTAGAAAAGGATGGTAGAACAATGTCCTGTTCAGTGGAAAGCTGAAGGGCCTTTAAGGCTGGAAGCCTGGATACGTTTTCAAAATTACACAGTAATCTCAGATCTTCAAGAAAGGTTCCCTGTTTGACATGAGATTGTATCTCAAGGATTCTGCAGGCCGAAAAATTGCCATCATTAAGACTCTTCAATGCGACAAGATAAATAGACGATTCTGTTAATGGCTCAAAAGGGTTCTTAACGATACTGCTCAAGACCATGAATAGATCCCAAATAGTTCATCCTTCCCTAACTGGTCTTTTCCAGGATAGGGCCCTGCAGAAAAACAAGTAGATCTTCTTAAAGCAATCACTTGAAAAAACAATAAGGGTAGCAATTTGAACCTTCAACGTTCAGGGCTAGGACCTTCTCCGCCCAGTCTGGGAAAAATTCCAAAATAGCGGATGTATCTCCTATACATAAGCGGTTTTCTACCAGCTAAGTTTTGAATTTTCTCCATACTGTCTGGTATATTCTTCTAGAGACAAGCTTGTGACTATCTAAAAGAGTGTTAATCACTTGACAAACCCACGTGGTTTATGATTTCTTTTTCAGTAACCCTGCGGCCAGCTTCAGTGTTTGAGTCTGAGGATGAAAGACAGGTACCTGGTATCAGGACTTGTCCTATTGACAGAATGCATGGAGGAACAGAAATGGAAGAGGAGAGAACTATAAGTGTAGAAATTTTCGAAAAAAACTACTTGTCCAGGGATTAAATTGGGGTTCCAATCTACTTGTCCCTCATGACAATCTACTTGTCTAGATAAATAAAAAAAACATTTTTTTTTATCCAAACCGTATCTAAATCCGAGGTGCTTTTAGGAATGTCTACGGCTTTTAAAAACAAAAAGGGGCTTTGTGGCAACTTAAACTTTTAATGTTAACATTGTGCGGCTTATCTCCTCCTCCCCTCCCTGCCTGTCTCCAGCACTGCACTCTGGGACTAGCAGGGAGGAGAGAGACCTTGCAGTGTAATGAGCACCAATTGGATGCTTGTCAGGAAATGGGAGTGTCAGGCTTATCCTTTATCCCTTTTGCTGCCAGAGCCGTTTTTGAGTTTTCTGCACAAGTTTGAAAAATTATAATAGACTTGAAGATTACACAAAACCCCCAAACATTATATGTTTTCTGAAAACTGAAAACAGACACCCTAGAGAAGAAAATAGTGGTAGTTTAAAATTTTTATGTTGCACGATACCACCGATATTACCGAAAAATGTCATAAAAAAATACACTTGTTAATTTTAAAGCACAAAAAAAAAAAACAATAATTTACCTATTTTTTGGAAAATTATAAAAGATGAGGTTGCACAGAGTAAATGGATATCCAACATGTCAAACCTTAAATTTGCGCGCGTTCGTGAAATGGCAACGAACTTCAGTACCTTATATTTTCTACAGGCGACACTTTTAAAGCCCCTTATAGGTCATCAGTACTGTTACTGAGGATGCCTTGTGCAATCGACGTTTTCATGCGTAGGTGACCCAGCAAGTACTTTTACATTTGTACGTGCGTATATGTGGGGGACTAAATGGTTTTTTTTTTTTTGAGGGGATGGCATGTGCTTGGCTGTCACTTTTTTTTTTACAATTTAAAACAAAAAACAAAACAAATTTAACTTTTTTTTTCTTCTAAACATAGGGGAGGCTGGAACTGTAGCCTGTGTGAAACCAATCGGGTGGCAGACCAAATGCTTTTACCTAACAGGGCAAGCAGCAGGGCTAAGGGTTAAAAAAAAAAAAAAAAGAAAAAAGAAAAACTACTTGCCCGGCACTACATGTCCCAGGCATTGGAGGATTTAAATTCAACATCCCTGGAACTATGCTCTTTTTAGCCGATAAAAAGCAATTAGGAATAAAGCTGTCTGCTTTGAAGAAATTTGCCCATAACCCATGGAAATAGATGGATCGGGGAAAGACATAACAGATTCCCAAGATTCTCAAGTATTTAGTAGAGTGTGCACAGCTAAGGCATGGTCCCCTGGGTTCAAGAAGACAAAGGGGGAAAAAAAAAAAAAAAAAAAAAAAAAAAAAGGATTTTGTGTTGATCTGAAAAACAAATCGATCTGCTTCTGAAAGGCCCCAATAGGTGAAATGATTTAGGAGTAGACTTTGAGATGGGAATATCTGAAGGCTCTGAAAATCTGCTACAGTGTTGCAGTCAGATGTTTTTCTGACCAGCAAAAAATTGTGTCTGATGCTACCATTAGAGAAGCACTTCTTGTACATTCCTGCTTGTTCAAGTAAGCCACTGTTGTCGAATTGTTTGATCAAACGAGAACATCGTGATCTTTCATGTAAATCTGAAAAGCTTCCAAGGCTCTGGCAACTGGTGTTAACACTTTGCCAAAATTAAAAGGCATCTTCCAATCGTAGAGACCATCAGCCCTCAGCTAAGCTGGAATCTGGAAAGACTATTTCTCCACCACCAATGTTCTCTTTTTACTTTGGCGGGGACATAAGACATGTCTGTTCAAGGACAGGTCTCCAGTCCAAATCCTGAGAAACCCCTGGAGGGGTCTCTGGTGAACGTTTGCCCATTGTACCACAGGAATTGTGGATGTCATGAGACCGAGAGACTTAATGTCCCTTATCGGTGACTAAGCGACTGCTCTTCAGTTAAAAAACGTAACTGCTGATCTTCAGAATTTTTTCTTCTGGAAGAAATAGTTTTCTTTTGAAAATGGATGACATATCCCAAAAAAAAAAAAAAAGTTATCTTGAGAGGATGAAGATTTGATTTCTTCTAGTCAGAGTATCCAGTGGCTGTTCAATGGATAGTCTGACAAATGTCTTTCTGTAGCTGTTCTTTTGCAGTTGCGGTTAACAGCAGGTCATTCAAGTAGGGGATGACTAACTGAGCACAGTCTCAGAGGGGCTAGGGCCTCCAGTAAAATCTAGAGAAGATTCTGGGTGCTGAAGAGAGTTCAAAAAGGCAGTGCCTTTGACCAATATGATATTCTATCTTGACTGCCAACCTCAGGTACCTTTGAGAGGTCTACACAGAGATCGGTATATACAGGTAAACGCCCTTCAAATCAAATAAAGCAATCTGGCTGTAGGATATTCTTTTCTGAGAAAATGGGATTCCATGCATAATTTCTTACCACTTTGTTTAGCAGTCCGACTTTGACAAATCAGACAAACTTTTCCTGTTTTTTGACTACAAAAACCATGTGAATAAAAGCAGTCTCTCTATTCTCTAGGGACTAAAGTATTCTGGTCCACTAAATCCTCTATGAGAAAAACCAAAGCCTTCGCGCCTTCTATGGATATTTTGATAACTTTGTGACAAAAAAAAAAAAAACTTGTCGAATTCGAAGGCATGCTATTCTGGAATTATCTTTAGGATAAATTTGCGGGAAGTTATTTCTTCCCATTGCGACAGAAAACTACCGATTCTTTCTCCCACTGTCTACCTTGTGTCTCTGTAGCCTAATTCAGGGGAATTAAACAAAATGCACCCTCTACCTTTCTCTTTGTGGCCTTTTCAGTACTTTTCTGGCTTAGGATCCTTACCCTCCTGTGCTTGAACATTTTGGCCACATAAAAATCTTCTAGTGAACAGCCTAATTTTTCAGGAAAGCCTTTTTATAGTCCACTTCCAACTCTGGTCTAAAAAGCAAATTCTCTGAAAAACGGCAGATTACAGAATCATAGTTTATGGGATGAATCCCCTGACCAGGTTCTGAGCCCACAGGCCAGAAGTGACAATATTCTTCCTGAAAATGATACCCCTGCATTTTTTCAGTGAAACTGAAATGCAGGAATGGCTGAGAAAGGAAAGCTTCTCCCCACTCCCCCATGCTGGTGCACAGAACAGTTGGCCACTAGCAAAACATGGCAAGGGAGAGCACCACCCCTGGTCCAACACCTCGCAAGGCACTGATAGGAAGAAGGTAACTGATCTCCTCCAAGACAGAACATATAAGGGAGAGCGTTTAACACTGAGTCAAAGGCCTTGAGAGACAGAGCTCACACCTTAAAAAAGATGATTCATCGAGGCAATGTGTCCACTATGGACAGAGGAAGCAAAAATAACTGACTGGTTGTCTGGAGGACCGCCTGTTATTATGAATTGGCAATGTATTTCCTGTCCCAGTGGGAGGAGCTCCATCTCTAGGGGTAAATATAACAATGTACCTTTTGCACACAAGAAATCTGCATTTCGTAAATATACCATGTCAGTTTTGCTGGTTCAGGTATATCACCTTCATCTGTAGGCACTGTACTGAATGAAGCTATTTGGCCACGCACACATGTTGAAAAAGTTAACTATTTTCATGAGGTGTACTTGCTTACAAGTTTGTCCCAAATCTGCAAGCAAAATCTTTTGCATACTGTATGCTATTGTATATACTGTATGTGAAGCATGTTTGTTAATGCTAGCCCATTAAACCTTGCAATGAAAGAAGCAATGAAAACACAACCAGGTTTTATAAACTGTAATGGGTGTCAGTAGTAAATTCAAATTAAACTTTAACAGATGAATTGAAATGTATTAAATATTCAGTATAATGAAATACTTTGCGTTAGTATCAGTATTAACTAGAGAGATTCAACAGAGCAAAAAAAACACAGTACCTTGCAATTTCCATGCTTTTCTTTGTTCTTCTTTGGCAACTTGCTCCATGTCTTTGTCATATATGTAATCTTGACACATAAAGCAGTATATACCCCCATACAACAAATCTATGGCTGAAGAGAAAGATGCAAAGGATGTGAAAAAAAAAATTGCAATAAAAACACATTGTAAATTCAATGTTTTTAAAAAAATTACCTTTCTTTTTGAAACTGCAGTTGCTGTCATTTTCTATAAAGTCAACGTCCATAATCGACTATTTGGAAAGCAGACCCTTGCATTTAATGTAAACTCCACTTTAGCATAAGATCCCTGCAGTTTACATAGGACACTTTCATTCCAAACAATTTTTTCTTTAACCTCTGTCAAGATTTTAGCTCTTTTTTTGGTCTCCCTTTGGGGAGATATCCCCTTACTTGCTTCCCTGGTTATCGCCATCAGGGCAAACAGTAGATAGGGTGAATCTTTTATACATGGAAACCAACTAATAGGCTTTAAAGTGGTTCTAAGGCTCAAGGCCTTTTACTTTCATGCATGCTATGAGCCCTGTTATGATCCAGTGATGTACACGACAGCCTCAGCTGTCCCAGGCCTCTGCCTCCTTCTTGGCTGAGACAGGCTTCCGCTGCTGTTAATTACAGCCAGTTGGTTAATGAGGAGTGAGAGGGGGCAGGGCCAAGCCATGGCTCCGTGTGCGAATGAACAGGCAGAGCAGTGGCTCGGGAATACGCCTGCTCGGGTGCCCCTATAGCAAGCTGCTTGCTATGGGGGTACACACAACAGAAAGGAGTAAACATGCATACTGCAAAAACACAACAGAGATCAAGCAAAGTCAATTCACTAAATATAGAAAACAAAAACATTTGTAATTTTTTACATTCCTAAAATATGGACCATGTACCAGGAAATAAACAACAATGAGAGGAACTCTGTACTGGTAAGTTAAATGTATGCCCTTAGCTCAGGAACATAAATAGTATGCAACACTACACTAGACAGGGATCTTTCTGTGAATGAAGGCACACTAGAATGTTTTCTTAGTTTCACAATATTTCTCTGTGCTTTTATTCACAGAACAATCCCAATCTGGTGCAGTGCGAACCTGTGAAAATGGAAAATTACAATAAAACTCTACCCTAGTCATTTGTTAAGTAAAGTGGTTTCTTTTTTTTCTTTTAACTGAATTAACAGATTCTGAGATAAATACCACCCGAGTCATTTTTTGGCAAAAATTTGTGCTGTATTTATTTCTAAGGCTAGGTTCACACTAGCGCAAACCCTGCGAGCAGGTTGCGGGTTTCGATGCGATTCCCGCACCTGCATTGTGCTTCTCTTGCGAGACACATCTCATCCTGCAGTGTGATTGTGGTACGATCGCAGGTGCGGGAACCACACGGTCAAATAGACCATGCAGTTCCATGTGGATGTGCTTCAGAAAGGGAGCATACACCTTTTCCTTGCGTTTACCGTGGAAACAGCAGCCCTTTCCAGTGCCCGCACTAGTGTGAACTGGGCTTAAGTGAATTGTGCCTACGATAGGATGCAAGTACAGTTTAGAAATTAGACCTTTAGGGTCATGGGAATTAGGGATGATAGTTTAAAGGCAAATGAGATATTGGTATTAGTAGAATTACAGAACTGTGTGTCTAGCCCATAAAGAATCAGGAAAAAAAAAAAAAAACAGTCAAACTTTTCCATAACTGTATTAAATTACACAAAATTCCACCGTAGTGAATTATGCGCTCTCCAAAATGGACTTCTTTAGAATAGCGTGCAAGTTAGAGGGCCTCTAAAAAGCCAGCTTATTAGGTTTTATCAGTTATACTTTTATCAGAGCTGGTGAATTTGTTTAAATTGAGGACAGTACTATGTCAGAATAAAGCCCCTAACTCAAAACTGCTTCCATGTTTTTTCTTTTTTTGTTTTTAGAAGCTCAAATAAAGTGCTCTCATGCCTCCCTCCCCCTTATTCCAAAACTTTTTATAACTTAGTATTTAGTACAGGACACAGGCTTGATTTTCAAAGACCCTGGGTCTGGTACATTCAGGTGACTGGACAAAACATTTGAGGCCATGCCCCCTGGGCATTCCACTATAACCCTTCCCCATTCCTCAGTTTTTTGTTAGTGTTCTAGGGTGCTGAATTTTTTTTTCTGCCCTGCAGAGAAATCATCCTTCTCCAACTAGATTATTTTACTTTGGTATCTTAAGGAAACAACTCACTGAATAGAAACAGTGCATCCAGATCAGTGCAACCTTGCTAAAACGTTGGAAGCAGTACCTGGAACCCACATTGTGCAAAGGGTCTATAAGGTTGCTTTGGGTACTGGATTCTGTTTTGGTGCCCACCATGGCACTGGGTGCACCGTGTTCACAGCCCCAGGGCAATGTCTATGGAACCCACTTAAACTCAAAAAAAGCTCAGCACCACTGGACTTCCTTTTCTTTATGGACATCCAATCATGGCGCAAATAGGCAACCCCACAACTGTGGCCTACATCAATCACCAGGGGGTACAGAAATCATGCAGCCATGCAGGAAGCAATACCAATTATCTCATGGGCATAGAAACACTATCCAGTGCTCTCTGCTGCTCACATCCCCCAGGACTGGACAACTGGAAGGCAGATTACTCAATCATCACTGACTGTACCAATAGGAATGGACTTTTCACCACATCTTCAATCTGATATGTCAGAGATGGGGAGGACTCCAGATGTAGATATCCTGGCCTCCATTATTAAAAAGTTACACCTGTTTTGTGTCCAGTACCAGGAATCCTCTAGCACCAGTACGGCTTCTTCTGTAAATTTCCTGAACTCCGTCCAGGCTAATTTATGTCTGTCTGTGAATTCTGCCTTTAATGCTCTGCAAAATAGAGCAAGTGAAGAAACCAGTGATTCTCATTGCACCAGACTTACCCAGAAGAATGTGATACACAGACACACTCAGACTTCTGGGAAACTATCCCTGGACTTTTCCAAACAGGCCAGAACTGCTGTTTTAGGACCCCCTGTTCCATCCGGCTTCTCAGTCACTGGCTGCAACTGGGACTTTACAAGCCAAGGTCTTGAGGGGAAAAGGGTTTCTGATTCGGTTATTACCATATTGCTAAAAGTAAAAAAAAAGCCACTACTTCATACTTGGATATCCTTCTTTGCCTGGTGTGAAACACAGGAGCTTCAACCCCAGAATACTCTGTGCCATGCATTCTGGGCTTTTTTTAAAAAAAAAAAAAAAAAAAAAAAAAACAAATCGGGACTTGACCAGAACTTAGCCTTAAGTATTCTTAAGAGACAAGTTTCAACTTTTTTCATTCTTTTCCAAAAACATCTGGCACCCCTGGAAGAAACTTTTATGTTAAAGTATTTTTTGGATCAAAGATCCCCTAAAGTTTAAAGGCTCCCTTGGGACCTCAATTTGGTTCTCTCTGCCGTGCAGAAACCACTCTTTGAACCAGTCAGGGCACCTGCTTCAGACAACTTCTCCTGCAAGGTACTTTTCCTGGTGATCATCAGGTCTGTCAGGTTTCCAAGTTAGTGGCTCTCTGTGAAGAATGAGGAATGGCTCATTCACAAAAGATATTTACACTGTCCGGACAAGGTAAGAGCCATTGCAGTGCATCTCAATGTTACACCTTTTTTGGGGAAGGCTGACTTCCTTTTTGTCTACCCCTCAGGACACCCTGCTTCAAGATCCACCATTGCTAGGTAGATAAGACAGCTTATCTCAAAAGATTACACCCTAAAGGATAAAGTACCCCTGCACTAAAATGTGCTCAATCAAGAGTGGTAGGAATTTCCTGGATATTCTGATGTCCAAGTCTGTTAGCCATCTTTGTAAGGATGGCACCTGCTCTTATGTTTATACATTTTCCAAATTGTACCAGGTGGATGTCCAATCCTCTGCAGATGCAGCTTTCAGCTTTGGACTGTGAAAATTTGAGGATCAAAGCATGTAACGGCAGCTATAACTGAAGGGAAAAGAAGAGGATTGTTGCAGGAGAGAGCACAAATTTTTTGACCTGCTTAGAAATAAGGTCTCATGTAAATCTGGTGTGCCTTTTTTTGGAGATCTTAAAGTAGAACTAATTCAAAACGTTTTATTTCTTCATTTTTTTTTTTCCCTCTGTCCCTTCACTTTCTGTCCTATAGCCTTGTATATTAATGGAATCTCTTGAGGACTCCGAGGTCACCAGAACTAGTGTCCCAACACTTTTTGGGGGGACAACCCAAAACTTTGGATTTTCTTTATTTTCACTTACGATGATAAAGGTAAACAGGACAAATCGAGAGCTGGAGTCTCCTTATTGGGGGGGGGGGGGGGGGGGGGGGGGGGGGGGGTGGGGGGTGGGGTGGGGGGGGTGGGGGTGGGGGGGGGGGTGGGTGGGGGGGGGTGGGGGGCACAGACAGGAAAAAAAATTACAGGGGTTCTCCCTGGTCACTATGCAAAACTTAAAAAAAAAAAAAAAAAGTTTTGCTTGTTTACGGTTTAGGTGGCATTCCCTCAAAAGCTTTGCCGGGGTCCAATCACCTTAAGAAGGTACCAGTCTATAAATGCAGCATCTATGAATATCAAAAGGTGTGTCCTGTATCATATTCAAAGATATGGAATATCTTTTCTTAAAATTCCTCTACATATATTTCTTGCTATTATCATACCCTACCACCAAAGAAGAACTGAAGATAAATTCTCCTGTTCCTGATGCTCACAGCGAAACCACATGTATATTATTTGTTCTCTAACCCTGACCTAGATCAAATCCTGATATACCTTCTTTTTTTTTTTTTTTTTTTATTTACCCCCCTTCCTGACCAGGCCATTTTTTGCGCTACGGCACGGTGTTACTTTAACTGACAATTGTGCGGTCATACAACACAGCACCCAAATTAAATTTACATCCTTTTGTTATTTGATCGCCTGTGTTTTTTTTTTGTGCTATGAAAAAAAAAAAAAGACCGACAATTTTGAGGGAAAAAAAAACATTATTTTTGACTTTAAAATTTCTTTACTGGACATGTTTAATAGCAAAAAGTCAAGTCAAGTTAGGACAAAATGTATTCTGCTACATGTCTCTGCTAAAAAAAAAAAAAAAAAATCCCAATATGTGTAAATTA